AATCTCGATGTGCAGATTTCGTGGCAGGCGCAGCACTTTGTGAAGCTGGACGTGCAGATCTCGTGGCAGGTGCAGCACTTTGTGAAGCTGGACGTGCAGATTTGCCCCTCGCATCAGAGTCGCACGCACTCGCTGCTTACCACCGCGGAAAACATGCGCGTCTGCAGTCGTAGCTTTTTGTTTTACAACGACCTTCCAGCCATAGTACTCCCTGGCATTTTTGCCACTACGTTGGTCGCACTCTCCTCCTTATAACCTCACGCCTGGTCCCTCTGGTCTTTCACATGCTTCCGCATCTGCTGCTCTCATCTGTGCACTCGCACATTTGTGCTCTTGTCCGTCTCCTCTCATATTTGTGCTTTCATCTGTGTGCTCCTTCTTTCCTTCCACGTGATGCCATGTTCCATCTGTTCCTCTTTACACTATTTGGGGTCCCTTGCCGGTGTAATTTTTAAGGACGACTATCTGCTGAAGATTTGAGGCTGCAGAGGAAAAGGGCTGCTGAAAATATCTAAGTACAAAGCGCCTGAGAAAGGAAAATGAATGCTGCAATCAATTACAAAAGGAATCCTCCCAGGAATCCAGATTTGTTTTGGTGGTAGTTTATTATAGAGGCCCTCCCAATTGTTTAGGTGGGGGTTGCCTTTACTAATCAAGATCCAACATTAATGAATGGTTTCTACGATGACAACAACTGCAGCAGAATCCGAGATGATCGAATCGTGATGAATCACTATCGTGCTTCGTCAGGGGCCAGGAATGAGTTCGATCACTCCTGGCCCCTGAGATAGTTATTCTGGGCCTAGTAGCGAACAAGGTGAATGGATATGTAATCTTTTGTCCAATCACCCGAGTAATGGCTTGAGGCATTTGGCCGTGGATTGGAGTGACAATGACATTTTTCCAATACCCCCGTTCAAACCGTTCCCTTCTGATCACCCACATGACACGGGTGGTGCAGCGGTACTTTGGACAAGGCCGGACACCAGTTCAACAACCCCTTTTTTAAGGAAAATGGACCAGTCTGGGCCAGAGGGGTCTCTCTATGATTTCCCAATCAACATACAAACCGAACTGAACCCAGTCTGAGGTCAGCAGCCTCTTGACCTCCTAAAAGGTCTCATCACTTGCAAAATAATCTCCTCATCTTCCAGATGGGCGGCCCTCGCTAAGGCCTCGAAAAATCGCGCGAGGAGACTAGATCGCGCAGCCAGGGAGAATGAAAGACTGGATGACCTTCTAATTTTAAACAATCCTCTTGCAAAGCCGTTCCCCTGGAAAATCAAGGTCAAGAGCCCGGACCCCCTCAAGTTACAATGTCATACCATGTCCCTTGTAATCTATTCTGTTCATCTGGTGGTCCACTAAGGTTCCCCCGGCGATGAGCCACGGCCATTTGCCTAAATCAAAGACCATGGTCTGTGTGGGTCTCAATAGGAAAGGCATTACAAAGCAAATAATGCAATAGAAAACTCATCAAAAAATATGTCGATACAAAGTAGTTATCAAAAATAGCGACCTTACCAGAACAGTTATCAAAAGTAGCGACTGTAATGAGTCAAAATGAACGATTGGGACTAGTAAAGAAAAAGAGCGGGAAGGGGTGTGGGGGGAGGGCGCAGCGCCTCCCCCGCAATGAACACAAATAGTGCACCGGTCATCCAACGCACTAAAAACAGCGCGCACCGTTCCCAATCTTCGCAACTCCATGAAGCACAACAACACATCCGCCTCGAGCACCGTGCACATCACGCGCTGTAAATGGCCTTCGCGATAGAGTGTTTGACGAGCCAACGTAGTGATCAAGAATGGTGTCAGCTCATAGATCAACACCATCCAGCGCCGCCCAGCGCCCCATTGATTATGGGCCATATGCTTCGGCATACGCACAATACCATACGCCCACACATGCACATCATTCAGAACTTGCTCCTGCCACCGCAAAGACAATCACCCCAATAAAGCTTACCAGCACATACAACACTTCACTTTCTCCAGGGTTTGCTTCCGCTCTCGCTCAGCTAGCTGCTTGAAACAACATCCAGATGCCGGCGCCGCATTTGTAAGCGTCACACCATTCGGACTCCAAGGGGATCGATGTCGTCATGCTGCAGCTCCACCAACACAAGAACAAAAACACACAAAACAGGAATATTGCGCGATTACAATCCAAGCCATGCAGAAGTCAAGCTTATCCGTAGTATATGATATATCAAAAGCATCACCCACCTAACAACTAACAGATTACAGCATTTTAAAATCCGCGCAGACAACAGTAGATTGTCACACCAGCAACGGCTGGTCATTTTCGGGGCGGGCGCAGAACGTATGCCAATTCGAGTGGCTTACCGAGTTGTTTCCAGTGATCTGCGGAGCGGATCACGGTATTGTCCCGATCCATGAACAGTGCTTCCGCAAAGGCCACAAACAAGTGATAGCCATGTTCACCAATAACAAAGAGCAACTCGGGTCAAGTCCTTCACACGCATCGAAGTGCTTCAGGATTTTGTTCGTCAAAGCCCCTTTCCAATAATAAAGCTTAGCCTCAACCTGAAAGCTATCCAATCCAACGTTTCAATCAAGCTTCACCATACACCCAGCCTTGAAGAAATGCTCACCGGTCAGTGAGTGGTATGCTTCAACATAGTCCCCGTTGTAGCCAATCATCAGAGAAACAGGCCGTCAAACGCAAAGTTTGGCAACTCAAGAAACTTTTCAATCTTCAGACTTCTCGGCTGTTTAAATCTTCACTTCAATTAGATTTCCACACACAAACCTTGCTAACCGCGAGGTGTGAACCTCGGACCTGGTGAGTTAAGGGAATTTCCGGACCACGGCCGGACCACAACCTCACTTTGGCTGACCAGTACAGCACTTTGAGTACCTTTTAGGTTCCCAAACGCTGGTTTTGCTGACAGGCACGGGGTTTTGGAGCGTTCGGTATCAGCTGGATTCGGACCACGGCCGGACCACAACCTCACTTTGGCTGACCAGCGCAGCACTTTGAGCACCTTTTGAGGTCGGACCCGGTCGGACCACGTCCTGACACGATAACATTCGCTCACAAAAGCACAGTTTAGAGATTTACAGATCTTGAGATTTCTTCGGGCGCAGCCCAAAAGAGAGGGTTCAAAATAGAATGCATTAGAATACAAAATAGATCCCCTTGCCAATTAGGGTGGTGGGGTCGGGCCCCCCATTATGTAGTACAACAGAACTGGGGACCCAACATCACAAATCTGCATTGCAATACATATTGAAAGGACCCGACATCTGCTTCTCTACAAAAGGTTTCGATCCAACATACAGGATATCATGTAAGAAAAAATAAATCTGCACTACAGAAGTGGTGGGACCCAACCTCTACATTGCCCATGTTTTTGACTATACAAAATATTGATGTGGACCCAACCTCTGAAGTTCAGGCGCTTCGGTCTGTTTTGAGGTCTGCTCAATCTTGAAAAATGTCCATTGACAAAAAACAAGGTATATTTTTGTTCATCGAACTTTTGGTTTCTTCGTGTTGAGATCTATCCATCTCGCTCTAAGATTTGACTTTGCATTCTTTTTGGGTTTTTGGCCATCCAGGTGGTTCTTCGTCGGCCATCTGGTTTTCCAGCCCGATTTTAAGTCACCAAAATGGCTGCAGAAATTTGCACTACATTATGGGCGTACACAACATAGGCTATAATCATCTTCACATGACAAGTCTGCACTACAAAAGTGGTGGGGCCCAACCTCTACATCATTCTATCTCTCAGCTTAAAGACCTTGCGCTACAAAATTGTCCTTGCTACAAAATGCGGCGCCTCAACCTCAATTTGTTCAAAATATTCAAACATCAAAACGCTCAACGTAGTGGACTTGAGACACCCCGTTTCACCTAGGAAATCGGAACGGGGATCAAAATAGCGATTCTATGCGATTTTACTACCCTGTGAACCAAAGGACTCGTTAAACTTGTTCGTTGGTAAATAAGATCGTACTTTACTTGTCTATAAGCACCTCTAAAGTAGACCGTTATATAGCAACAATTTGGCTCACAGGGATTCAGGGTTGGGATCATCAGAAAACCATGCCCGCAAACGTCGGATCGGCCCTTCGTCGCAGTGAAGGGTTCAGGTGGGCGTGCGTGGCACATGTGACATACAAGATCTATCAACATATCAGGGTATGCACCTGTAAAAGCCCGAAAGTCTGAGACTCCCTCCCTATGGATCTCCAAAATGGTCGCTCAGGAGGTATGTGGGGGACAGAGCCATCCTCCCAGAAAGTTGTCCAACACCTTGAGCAAAACCAGATTGGTCAGGGTGTGGATACTTCCATCGTGGAGACCCCACAACAGCTCAACCAAATTCCAAAGACATCCATCCACACAAACAAGCATGATCCCTTTTTTCCTCACCACGGTCGTCGCTCGATGGACTCGACAGCGATGGGATCTGGAGGAAGCACTATGAAGCGTGCTCTTCGAAAGAGATTGTAGGCTATGCATTGAGCAGTTTTTTATATTTCAATCCCTGCTAATTTGGCCTTAATTTAAGGGCTGATGCCCGACAGCCGCCCACCACTGGTTGTCGTTGTTGTTGTTGCTGATTCTCGTCGTCGTCGTCGTCGTCATGGTCGTGGGCGCCTATACGTTGAGCCTATCTTGGGCCTACGGTGGCCCATCTTGGGCCTATTGGGTCATCTTGGGGACCTCTGTTGGATCATCTTCGCGGGCACATTTTGCGCAATTTATGTTGACACGGGCCCATCACCCAAAAATGTCGATTACGCATGTCCACACGGCGCGCGGATTTGACCAGCCTAGCTTTTGAGGGTGGATTTGAGCCAGCTGATAGATATATCACAGGATCCTTGAATATGTTCGATCGATTGCAAGTGCATGTCCGGACAGGAGATCTACAAGGAACGACTTGCTGATGGTGGGAAGTACGTCCGGGTGGTGCGAGCGAGCTGGTATCCCGCGCTACAAGATGATGAGTGACCTGAAGAGGAAGCGTGCATCTGGGTCAGACATTGCGGGGGGGGGACCTGGAATCGATCGATCAGATGGTACTTGTCAAGCACCTCTACAAGACCTATAGCAACAATTTGGTTCACAGGCCCGGGATTCAGGGTTGGGATCTCCAGAAAACCATGCCCGGAAACGTCGGATCGGCCCTTCGTTGCAGTGGAGGAGTTGAGGTGGGCGTGCATGGCACAGGTGATATTGTGACCCAACACCATGAGCAATTGGGGAACCCGGTCAGGGTGTGGATGCTTCCATTGTGGAGCCCACAACAGCTCAACCAAATTTGAAAGACATCGACATGCATGATCCTCACCCAACCAAATCCGCCTGTTATACGCTTTAGGGGTTCCCTAACGGATCAGCCGGGTTATTGAGACCCCTCTGGCGTAGGGCCAGGCAAGGACCACGTGACCCAGGAACCCTCGTGTCGGCGCTAGGCAGTCATGGCCCACGTTAGTGTTCCAGCATCACGCTTGCGTTCCACACAATAATTGGCATGGTCCCGCGGAGGATGCTGGACACACATGCCGCACATACATGCACATACACACCGGCACATGCGTACAAAAGGGCTGTCCAAAGGTTCACAGAGTGTGGACTTGCAAGAAGATCACCTGAAGATGCTCAGGCCTGAAGCAGAGGCCAGATTTCACGATGCTGGGATGGCCTTTTGCCATGTGCATCTGAAGTTGACGCGGCTGGCTCGAAGGCCATTCACCTGCAGGTGTTGGGTAGTAATTGGCAGGCACGCGCATTTTTGCATGTCTTTTTGTAGCATGTTTTTTTCACCGGGTCCCTAGATTGTTTCTACCATGTTCCACAGAGAGACTGCGAGGCATGCACATGTTTTTGAGCAAGTTTTTGTATAGGAGGGATGAGGAGGGTATTCATTTTCACCTGGTCCCTCGATTGCTTCTACCACAAACAGACTGCGGCCAGGCGGAACCGCGTCGCATGGCTTCAAGCGATGCTTGCGGTGGCGACTAGTCTAGGCCAGAATCTATACAGGTCAATGACCTTTGTGGTCATAGGTCATAGGTCTTTGGACTTGAGATCACTTAGCAATTGAACATCCAAGGGCACAACACGCGGCATTGGGCGTGCTTCTCGGAGGAGGACAGCATCGGCGTGCTCAAGCATGTGGCCAGACACGTTTCGCGCCAGCAGTGCGAGAGCTACCTGATGAACCAAAACCAGAAGCCACAAAAGCCACAGAAGCCAAAAGCCACCAACGCCAGAAGCTACAAAAGCCACAGAAGCCAAAAGCCACCAAAGCCAGAAGCCACAAAAGCCAAAGAAGCCAAAAGCCACCAAAGCCAGAAGCCACAAAAGCCACAGAAGCCAAAAGCCACCAAAGCCACAAGCTACAAAAGCCACAGAAGCCAAAAGCCACCAAAGCCAGAAGCCACAGAAGCCAAAAGCCACCAAAGCCAGAAGCCACAAAAGCCACAGAAGCCACAGAAGCCAAAAGCCACCAAAGCCAGAAGCTACAAAAGCCACAGGAGCCAAAAGCCACTAAAGCCAGAAGCCACAAAAGCCACCTAACCACTAAACACACACAAAAAATCCAACTAAAACATATAATACCCTTAAAGTCACCAACCGCGTTTGGGAATGTGCCAACCGTGGCAGGTTGGAATTACACACCCCAGGGTCCATTTCACGGGCCTCAGCCTGACAGGGTGGTGCTTGTATACGTACCGTTTTCTTATATAGAAAACACCAGGTATGTTGTCGGTGTTATTTCTTGTGTTGTTCCATGATGTTCCATGTCTAATTTCCTTACTTGCCAAGAGAGGTTATGACCTGAACTAGCACCCAACTGAGGTACGAACTGGGATAGTCTAAGTCGGGTTCTTGAACCTCTGTTGTCCTTGCTCCTAGTAGCGATGCCAGGAGCCCCTAGTAGCGTCCTTGTTCCTAGTAGTAAGGCCAGAAGCCCCTAGTAGCGTCCTTGCTCCTAGTAGCGATGGTGGTGTTTGAGGTGCTGGGAATTCTCTTTGAGATGTGCTGGCCCCCGCTGTTGCTCCAACCAGGCCACCCTCAGGAGTGCAACTACTCGCCTGGAGCAGTTCCGCAGTGGGTGCCCCTGAGGGGTTCTGCCTCGGTGGGAAAACAAAGCCAGGGGTTCATCCGAGTGGTCGCACCATAGCGAACGCGCGAACCGAGTGGGGTTTGCGGGTTCCAAGCTAAAGAAATGGGTTCGCCCACCGGAGTTTTACTAATTAAATTCAATTGTTTCAAAGAGCTTCTTGTTACTAGTAGCGATGCCCGAAATGCTCCGTTCGTAGCGTCCGAACGCTCCTAGTAAGGCCAGGATCCCCGTTCGTAGCGTCCGAACGCTCCTACCCCTATTGGGGGTCGACCTTTGTTTGAATTTGTTTGGAGGTAAACACAATATGGAGAGTCAGCCGGTGGCCTCGGATGTGGATGAAAACGTCACCAGGACATACCAGGACCATGTTGACACCTGCAACTCTGAACGTTTACAGGTCACCTCCTGGAATTTCCCGCTCAAAAAAGGGAACAGAATGGAACGGAAAAGATAGAAAAGTATAACTAGTATTAACTAGTATAGTATTACCCTGACATGCCTGACCATCCATTGTATTTAATATGCAGCATTGAAGACCTAGGATGTTTAACTTGTTCAACCACCCTCTTAGCTTGTTCAACCACCTTTGGGCCTCTTCTCGGTCCATCTCCCCAGTCGTCGCGGGGTGACTCCGAGGCATTGTCCGCGGTCAAACCGGGCAGCCCTACAGGTGGCTGGACAGCGCCTGCGCCAGGTCCTGGACGAGGTCGAGCGGGCAAGGGCCCTTTTGATCCAAGTTCCCCGACATGGACCTGCGCAGTCCATATATACCTACATTAACCATCCCAATGGGCCGGCATATATGGCAGTCCCATAGGTCGTGTCTGGGGCGCCCGTACGTGTTCGAAGAAAACCAAACCGAACCCCCGGGAGCCGCAATTTGCGTCACAAGGCTCGCTCTACTGGGGTGTATCTTGGTGGTTCTGTACAGTGGTTTCAGAGGTGAGAAATGGCACAAGTGGTCCTTCGTTTCTGTGAGCTTCATCTGAGCTGTCCTGCCTGTGTACTGACCCCAAGTTGGGTGGTTTAATGTAAAATGCAGTGTTCGACCACTATTGTATTATTCGGCGACATTAATTTGTACTATTGTGGTTGTTCGACCGGTTGAACATTTAGTTAATAATGTTAATTGATGTTAATTGAACATTTAGTTCGACTGATTGAGACAGCAGCGCTCTTCTCCGAAGGATGGTCGGAATATTCGCTCTAGAGTGCTTGGGTTCAAGTGGCCCTGCCACTGTGACCCACGTCACCAACCCTGCCTACCTTGAATTTATATATATATATACACACCCATCGACAAGACATGTAGGGGTGCCAGTGCCATCTACTCTGAAACCACTATAGCTATTGATGATTGTCTGGCCCGCTTTGCTTTGTACTATCCCCGCTTCTCCAGTAGAATGTTGTAGAGAGGGTCAATTCAGACCTGAGTGGGGTGTTTCGCTCTCGATTTCTTGGATCATTCAAAGCGCGGCTGGTTTGGCCACGGCTCTCCCATCCTTGCGTGATGCATTTCGGCTCCACTGGCCAAACCGAATTTGGGTCCACGGAGGGAACCCCAGGGGTTACGACCTCCTTCGTTTCGTCTTCTCTTCCCAGGCAGAACAGGAAAGTGCAGCATACTGGCATACTCCCATACTTACACTTCATATGATGGCATATTGAAGGCATAATAATGCATAAAGAAGAAGAAGAAGCAAAAGCAAAAGCAGAAGCAAAGACATTCCCCTTCATCATCTTCATCTTCCCCTTTGGCTTCGCCCGGCTTCGCCCCCCCAGGTCTCGTTCATCACGTGAAAACATGCTCGGCTACCGCCTCGTCCGTGGCGCTTGCACGGGTCGAGGACGAGCGTTCACGCTCGTCGGTGAGAGTCTTCGGCGGCGGCACCGGTGTGGCCTGGCCGGGTCCGCACTCAACGGCAGCACCGAAGTGGGCGCGACGGCGAAATACGGCAGGTGTGTATCGGGTTTTTGGGATGTGATGTTTTTCAAGTCATGACGTCTGATGTATTCTGATGTACTAGGTGGTGAAGGAGTGCCAAAATCCGTCTAGATTGGGCTGTCCATGTCAAATCACTGGGTGACGAGAGAAGAGTGATGGTCTGTCCCTGACAAGGTTTAGATTTGGTGCCGCCCCCACCCAGGATTCTAGCCGATTTCGTCCAGCAGGGGGCCCTGCTAGCTGCTAGTGACTTCTTTTGCACTCTGACGGGGCAGAAGGATTGGTTGCCATAATGGATCATCCACCAATGACCGGAGACTACCACTGACTTGAGGACTTCCATTGGATGACATTGGCTTGCTCTGCCGCCCTGCCGAGTCTGAAGCTGAAGCCACTCAGGAGGCCCCAAGTACTTTGGCCCTGATAAAGCACCAATCTTAGATGGTGCAAAAGATGGAAATGGGTGCCACTGCAGCAGTGCTGCTCTTTCATGCCCATATGTCAAACATCGTCAAACACTCCATGGGATTGGCACATTTTACTGATCAGTTGGGGTGGTTGAAAAGAGGTCATTGTAGGGAAACATACATGGAGCGTGCGGGTGTGTAAAACACTGCGATTCAGGCAATCATTTAATAAATCAGGGGCAAGTCAGTCATGCTACATCCCTGTAGCAAAAAAACCAAACTACTAGACTGGACTGGTCATTGCTCACTCATGCTTGTTCCAGATGCCCTTCTCACAAATTAGGCAGTTCCTCATCAGCAACGCTATGGGACTACACGTTTCTCCAGACTTCGTCACGACCTACTCTTCACCAGTCCATCCTGCACCAGTGCAAAACCTGCGAAACCAACGACGGGCACCGCCAAAACGGGACACGTACTGGCTGGTTCAAAAGGGGAATCTCGACCAGATCCTCACAATCCTCAGGGCAGGGATTGCTTCATCCATGTTAATCTCCTGGATCAAACATTTAGCGAAAAGTGCCAATCACACAGCATCTCGATCTGGCCCACCCCGTCGCCGGTGCCTTGCTAAAGGTAGGCCCTGGCGCTGTCGGCGCAGGCGGCGAGGCAGGCGAGGGTGTCGGCGTGGCAGCGAAACCTGCGCGGCCAGTTTGAGACACGAGGACACTCGGTAGCCCTGCAGCCTATGTTCACCCAGCGAATCGACGCAAGCGCCCGAGTCTAGATGTCGGCTGTGTAGCTCAATGTCCTGCCAATAAACCTTTGGGCAGCTTCGAAAGAACCACAAATGCAACAAGTAACAAGCACAACATTGTGGACAAACAAGAACAAGGTGAGATATGCCAGCTGGCCATGTGGGCATGGTTTGACTTGGGCTATGGATGAACTCCTCTTGTCTGATTGTGTAACTGTGGGACCCAGGTCCAATAACCTTGAAAAGAGAATTGCCATGTAGTATTCCCATCAAAATTGTGTCCATGACTTATTTACAGTCTCAAACCATAAAACGAAAGGGACACACCTTTTCTCAGCCAAAAAGTGCCTCGGTTTATCGGTGGTTTCACCGTCTCTTGTTCCACAGACTCCCCCTCGCCAGTATGGCGATCGTGGATGGGGTCAAAAGCGAGCCCAGCTCAAGGCACCTTGTATGTACTCTTGGCTTTAAAATATTCAGCTCTCATCTTCTCTGTGCCCCAATTCTTGCCAGCGTTTTCGCGCTGGAATTTGTTCCATGGATTCGACGGTTGCGGGCCTTGGGGTTGCACAGGCCTTGATGCCGTCCTTGACCATGTAGCATCGGATGATGCGGCTTCTGATGGCCCTTCCTTCAGCTGCTGTATGATCAGCGCTGCTTTCTCTGCGCTTGCCGCAGCACAGTTGGCAGCTTCAGCAGCCCTGTATGCCCTCTTCGCCGCATCGGCAGCAGCACCAGCAGCCTCGCCGGCTGCCACGGTCCTTGAATCGTTTGATCCGGACCTCAGGCGGTGCGCTGAAGCCCGATGACGCGAGTGCGAGCCCGACTGTCGCCAGGTAGGTTCTGAAGTAGAGCTCGTTCTGGATGTAGCCCCTTCTTCTTCTTCACTGGCCTGCTGCTTCATTGTCGGACCCTCTTTCTCACTTTCTTCTTCCTCCTCCTCCTCCTCCATACGAAGTGGCTGCGGCAGCCCGATGACACCATGCAATCTTTTGAGACAGCACCCAATGGAACTCAGTGCTGTCTTCCCCACCCAGATTGCCCCAATCAAAATCAGGATTAAGCCGCACATCCAGACCGCATCTAGAGGGAGGTCCGATTCATACTCTTCTTTCTTTTCTGTTGCATTGGCAGCCTGAGTGGCCTGGATGATCGCTCCCCCCACTACTAACATCTGCAGCGCTATGGCCCGATCTTGTACTTGAAGGAGTCGATCACCCATCGCGATTCGTTTCACCTGGGCCGGTTCATTTTGTAGGCCCAGATCCGCCACAAAGCCAAAGAAACTTTGGCCTGATAATGGCTTTGTCATGCCGTCAGCCACCAATTCGGTGCCTTTCAAGTGGCTGAGCTGCCACTTGCCTCCAGGAAACTCCACCTGATCTTCAAGGGCTTCACGGAGGATGTTTGCTCTGACTCGAAGGTGGCGTGTCCGCCATGATGAACTGCTATTGCCATAGGCAAGGCCAATTGCAGCAACATTATCTCCATAAATCACCCGCTCAAACGAATTGGATGAAGTGAGGTCCTCCCCCCACATAGCACACATCAAAGCCTCAATCGATCTGCCAGCCGTGAGGGCTTCACAATACGAAACAAGCTCTGATTCCGCAGTGCTGTGAGTCACAAACGGTTGGGTCGAGCTCTGCCAAGCCACTGGAACGCCAGCAAAGTAGATCACCAGTCCTTGGATGCTGCGGTGATTCGATCCAGCACCATAAGCTATGTCAGCGAAGACCTCGATGAGCTTGTCATGCCGCTGAACTTCCAATTGGCTTCTGGCGCCCCATTTTTGGTGGATCTCCCTGGGATAGTGCATGTCACCAGGGTTGCCTTTGACATAAGCAAGGAGGTTGTGGCCGATTTCAATGGCCCTTCTAGGATTCTTTGTCATCAGACGGCTGAGAGCCGCCACACCATAGGCCAAATCCGGCCTTGACCTTGTTGACAGCCAGAGCAATGATCCAGCCAAAGCCTGCGCTTCACGAATCTGGCGGCGGTCACATTCAGCCTGCACCTCATAGTCTTCCTCACTGATCTTGAAGCGAGGGAATTGCACCGCCTCATTCACATTCCAGCGGGTGAGGATTTCTTGCTCATATTGACGTTGAGACAAATGAAAACCATCTCCAGCTCCATCGGCCATGATTTCAAACCCACAGAAATGCACCGGCGTTTGTGCTGAAGCCCATTCGACACTGGATGTAGTCCAAGTTGCTTGCAAGGAGGTGAGGCCCGCACTCAATGCTGCTTCTTCTCCGGTCAGGAGGATGTCGTCCACATACACGGACATGAGGCCAGTCCAGTGACGTTCACCTGTCTCGAGGTCCACTTCTTCCAGCCGCCATAGATTTTCGTCCGTGGTTTTGTGGAAGTGTCCACGGACTTTGCGATCATTTCGCACTCTCACCCAGCTCATCGATGGCAAGGTCTGGTCCCTGTGCCTCGACCAGTCCTTGGGGGACGTCGTCAAGCCATACATGGCCAGGCGAACTAACCAAACCTCCCCTTCTGCTGCCAAGCCAAGCCGCTTGTAAACTGAAGGGATCTCCATGGCGACCAGTTTCCCATCTTCTCTTCGAGGGGCATTCAAAAAGGCTACCCTGATGTCCGTAGCAGCAACTGACCAGCCCTTCAAGGCAGCTGTTCGGATCACCGCCCTCACTTGACAGCCGTCAGCTCCACCTGCATAGCAGTCTGCATTGAACCTTGACTCTGAATAGTTCCCGCAAACAACTGCACGAGCTCTTCGATTGCCAGCTCCTGACTTGCGGGTGTAGACCATTTTTGCAGGGAGCAATTCAATCACTTTACCTTCTTTCTCAGCTCGTTTTTGGAGGTTCAGCTTGGTGATCTGTTCCACCGCTTCCTTGTTTCTCACGAGCTGATCATACTCCGCTGTGATCGGAGGGATCCAGTTTTCAAAATCATCCATGACCTCTTTGGTGCTGATCGTTCGTGTCACCAAGAACTCTTCTTCCAGCTCCTGTTGGTGTAGAGCTTCGCTATCATTTTGGTGTTGAAGAAGATTTTCCTCCGCCTCAACCTTTTGGATGATTGCACTGGCTAATGCTTCAAGACAGCACCCTTGGTCAGGACTTGTGATGTCCACATGCTTCAACTCATCCACCACGTAGTCCGCCAGGTTCGCCTGCATGGACCGAATGAATTGGACCCTCGTGATCGGAGCTCTCCCAGGTGCTTGACATTGCAATGAGGCCACCAGGTATGAGCCACCAGCCTGGTTGTTAGGCGCCTCCTCCCACTCCCCTCCTCCGAGTGATTCCTCCTCCAGCGAAGCCTTTGCACCTTGGGAAGATCCGTCACTTGGTGTCCTTTCACGGTCACTGGGTGTCCTCTCAGGCGTCTCAATCGTCCAGCTGTCGCTGCTAATCTCCTGGCGGAACAACTCGGGGTCGTTGGGTGCATGAACATCAAAAAGATCACGATGATCACAAAGCCAATTTTGAACGCGAGCACTGGTCTCCCCCTCCATGTACAACATGGACAGCTGTGGAATTGCGGTTTTATCCCACAGGCGACGTTTTGGAACGCTGCCTTCCCATTGAGGAGCTCCTGGAAGGCGGTCAAGCTCCGGCAGATAGGCACAGACCTCTGCTGCTTCAGGTTGATGAGCCATTGGGACCACAACATCATCGGTATAAAAGAACCGTTTGGTTTCGACTGACTGCACATAGTAGCTGGTGCTTGTCAACGAAGAATGAATTGCTGGCCCCAAAACAGTCACCTCATCCCTGATCTCCCGCCAGGGTTGGTAACGATCCTGCCAGGACTTTTTCAGGGCAAAGGCTTTGGAACCAAACTGAAGCATGGGTCCCACCGGCACTCCAAGGCTTCGAAGCTGGCCTCGGAGACGGCGTTCGCCGATGTGGATTGCAGCAAGCGGCCAATATTCCAGCCCCAAACCTGTTGTTGCAACCACCGTCCTGACATGCTTCTTGATGACGCCAAGTTCACCTTCAACTCTGCCGTTGGCCTTGAACGAGTCACCGGATGTCAAAGTGGTGACTATTCCTCTGTCGAGGGTCCAGCGGCGGACTGGAGCTGAGATCAACTCCCGAGCTCTATCGCAGTGAATGCGATACAAAGGCAGCCCCAAGGATCGAATCCTCGCGTAGATGCGAGCCAAGGCAGCCAAAATGTTATTCACAGCCCGTCCTGGAAGTACTTCAACGAAGGTGACATTGCGGACTGCAACATCTTGAGCTTCTTCAATTTGCTTTTGCCATGCTTCCATTGCCGCACGGCCATGTTTCACACCTGCTGCCTCTGCTGCACTTTGTCCTGCCTCCCCCGGATCCTCTACATCTCCAGGTTCCCCCTCCATCAAAAGGTCCTCCCCCGGGTCATCACCCCCAGGTTCTGTAGGAGTGTACTCATCAGCGTCGATGGAAGGTGGATCTTCCTGGTGACTTGATGCCTCTGCAAACTCAACCAATGAGCGGCCAGAGCGATCCACCGGGAAGGTGTACACAGCAATCATCATGTACCTGCAGTCATGCCTGTTCTGGTCTTGGCCAATCACCATTTTTCCCGACAGGTCGATGCTCAGCGTGTAGGCTTCAGGGTGTGTGATCTTGCGATGTGGTTTGCTGCGTGCAGAGGAGCGAACACAATCCCGACAATCTCTTCTTGCTGGCATATGGTCATTAAGGTAATGCTGACGCCAGCTCTCAAGTGCCACTTGTCCGACAGGGCGGAGTGCCGCCTCCAAAGAAGGAGTAACTCGACGGTTGAGGTGATCTTGCACAGCTAGCACCAGTGCCACTTTCAAGCCCGGTGCCCATGCCGCCCAACCCTTGGAGTCTTCACAGCGCTCCTTCAGCGTCATGTTGGCTCTATCTTGACCTTGAGGATCAGGAGGGTCTCCACTTGGTGGACCTCGTACACCATCCAAAGCATGGATGTCGCGCAGCACCACAGCCATTGAAGTAGGCTTTTTCTTGATGTGGCCCATTGGTCCTTGATCGAAGTGGATCATCCGGACCTTGAAGTGTGCCTCAAACGATTGCCATTCTTTGGTGCGCCACACCGACATGAATTTCTTGACCTTCACTTCTTCAGTCGGTCGATACCGTGCAGGATCTTCGGGCTGCTCGATTGCCAAGGCGGTCTGCGGCTCGTCCGGCAGGCGAACATCCTCGCACAACATGTACAAGGCCAACATGCGGAACCAGAGTACACTATCACCAGTGACCAGATTCTGTTCGGTGGCCGTCAACGTTGGAACCCCATAGGGATACTCTTCAGTTCGAAGAACTCCGGGACCGCCATCGTCTTGATATCTCAAGGCCGAAACAGTGCGGCAAGGTGGACCAGCCAACAATGCTTTGACTCTTCCTGATGCAGCCAGAGAAAGCAAGAAGCGGAAGACTGCATCATCATGCAAATCTGCTGGAACATAGCCGCTAAGATCGACACAAAGGACCTCAGTGCCACTGCCAGCAAGCTTCTTCTCCCAAAAACGGTGGTCCGGCCCCGAGAACAAATGGATGACGATGCTTTTGGCCTGCTGTAGCCGCCGACGTTTGTGCCGGTTCCAAGGGATTCGATGCCCTTCATTGCCCTTCAGCGAAGAGAGGTCCGGGATGACCTTCATCAACACCTCGTCCGGAAGATCCGGAAACATCATCTTCATCTTCAGGGTGAGGGCCATTTCCGTGGAGTTCTTCACCGCCTCCAAGGACTCTGCTGATGGATCCGCCAGCATGGACTTGAGCAACAAGGCCTTCCGCACCAATCGAACTTGTTGATGTTCGATTCGAGCGATCATCTCCTGCCCCAACTGACGGGTGACCATCGGGCAGCCATGTTGGATGCAAACATCAAGCTCCTGGCCCTGCTCATCACGCAGAGAGCATTTAGCCCCCTTCCACTCAAACCTGTAGCCCAGCTCTGTGATGCCTCCCAGTGGAATGATCCAGGATTGGCTCATAGTGTCATCAGCCGGGTCTGACACCAGGATCTTGGAGTTCACCTTCAGACGAAGTTTTGTCGTAACCCCATCAGCCAAGGTGACTTGCGTAGGTTGTGCCGCAGCCCATTCGCCTTCAGTCAAAGCCGGCCTCAAAGCGTGGGTTGCACCAGAATCCAAAAGCACCATCATGCCTTCAGCAGCCACGTCCAGCTGGCTAATCTTGATCATCTTCAGCTGCGGTGCCCTTAAAGACTTGAGAAGCTTCGTGGCCTCTTGGAGCAAAGCTTCGCTGGATGTTGTGCCCGTTTCACCTTTGCTTCCATCGCTTGGTGCAGGGACTTCAGAAGCAGCCTCCATTGGACCTTCCATTTCTTGAAGCTTGGGTGCGATTGAATTGCCAGCACCCGCCCCAGTGGATGACGTAGAAGGCGACGTGGACATTTTGGGCGATGACTTTCCTCCCCCTGAGCCGCCAGGCTCACTCTGGGATTTGCCCTCTTTGGATGGACCAGGTTTGCCTTGTCCTTGGGCTTTGAGTTTGCAATCCGTCTTGCGGTGATCTTTGCCGCCGCAAATCCAGCAACGAGCTGCCTTATCTTCAATGCCGTCCCATGAGTGTGACCATTTGCAATTGCGTTGCAATTGCGGCCAGCTTTGCACCCTGACTCGGACCGGAAATACTTGCAAGGAGTGGATGCCAATGAGGCGCCCTTCCCCTTATCCACAGAGCTGCCAGTGGCATTGGGTGGCTTGCCATGCGCATCCATTTGTTTCACCTTCACCGGCGATGGAGTTGTAGTCGATGGAGTCGAGGCCATGAGGCACAATGTTTCTGCCTCAGCGAGCAGACATTGGCTGAAGCGCCAAACACCATCATGTAGCGGCTGTTGATCAATCCCCAACTGCAACCTGCTCTGGGCCAAACGAAAGGCAGCTTGAGCATCCAAGGCACCAATCTGAGCAACGGCAGGTTCAAGGGCCTTCAACAACAAAGTCCCGTCCGGCAAGATCGCCCCGATCTCCTGAGCACGGGCATAGTGTCTTCTCCAAGACCTCAAAGCCGCTGCCAGTTCAGGTGTCCCTGAGCTCTTATCCAGCGATGTCAGCTTGGCCAACAGGATCGACTTTTCCCCGGAACCACCGGGCTGGTACCTGACCAACAAGCGAAACAGCAATGCAGTCGAAGTCAACTCCCTGGCCGTGATCAAAGCTTGCTGCTGATCTGCGGGGATGGCTTTCAACAACAAATTCACACCACGCTGCTCTGTCCTCTGGTAACATTGATCCAGCAACTCATCAGGCAGCTTGGGCACAATTTGAACTCGCTCCAAGGGCGAAGATGTTTTCCATCTCTCATAATAGCACTGGGCTTCTCTTGTGGTCAAATTCCACCACCTTGATGACACCGATGAGATGTCTCTCAAAACAGGACCACAAACAGCCAACCAATCGCCCAGTTCCAAGGGAGATGCATCAGCCGCTAACTCAACCAGTTCTTTGTTCCCCCCCCCCGGCACCTTCAGACCAAGGCAACGGAGCAGGTGTTGGTGAGAGTGGCATCTCACTTCGCCATCGACCATATGGCGCATCGCCACCCCGCATCGTGGACTCCGGGCCCAACTTCACGTCGATCGGCCCATGACCCGAAACAGGGTTGCCACCAGGAGGAAATACTTTATCAGGACCATGTTGACATACTTCAGCTTGACCCCGAACACCATGACCCAACCCATGACCGTCCCCTTGAGGTCCACATGCTACCCCACGTAGGTCATGACCATAAAATAGATCCAGAGGTGGGCCATTTGGGATGCTACTCAAGCCTCCATGTCCTTTTGATCCCTGCATGCGAGCGACGGACTCCTTGAGCTCGGCCAATTCTCGCTCCATTCGAGCCGCAGGATCACGGCCATCATGTGGACTGAAGGCCTTCCCTTCTCGCATGCTTGCCGGGACCCATTGCGCGTCCCCGAGCCGACGACGGAACTCTACAAAATCATAACCTTGAAACATGTTGGAATCCGCCAAGGCGCACGGAGGAAACGGTGGCGGAGGCAGCTCCGGCAGATCCTGAGGTGGTGACCCTGGAGGGAGCTGCGTGCCATTGGGCGTGCACCTCACGCCATTGGTTGTTCGCCTCGTCGTAGGACTTCTTCCCCGAGGCGTCTGTGGTGTCTCTCCCTGGCGGATGCCCTTGTAGTGCCCAGCAGTTTCACAACCTGCGGTGCTCGACGGTTGGTCCTCTTTCTTCGGACCATGTTCCTCAACCTGCTCCCAAGAGGACGGAGCAGTGGATGGAGCTTGACCGCTCCGATGAACCTGTTGCTTCAGCTTTTCAACTTCTTCCAGCAACAGTTCATTTTGGTCTCTCAAAAACTGCACCATTTCCGCCTCCATAGCTCTTTGGAGGCTGGCCGCGACCTTCTGTCCAGCGAGCACTAGGTGGGGTGACATACATCCGGCCAGACCCTCCAGACCCAGACGCCACACCGCGTCCTTTCCCGAAGCCACCTGTGCTCTTTTCTGGCACAAGTTCAGTCTCAGCCTCCCAGTCGCCATCACCATCGTCCTGTGGGACCGGCAAATCCTCCGGTCGGCTCAGGCGAAGTGCCACCTCTGCTTTCAGTCGGTCCGACCAAAATGGATTCGCCCCCAGTGGAGGAAGCGAATGCAAGCGCTCCATTGCGCTAACACGCGGGTAGGTTTGGGCTCATAACCCTCAAACCATAAAACGAAAGGGACACACCTCTTTTCTCAGCCAAAAAGTGCCTCGGTTTATCGGTGGTTTCACCGTCTCTTGTTCCACAGACAGTAAATATGTTTTCGTCTTGCTTCGTCATTTGGGTGTGAGATGATGTGGGCATGTGTGCCTATATCCACCTGAAAACACGTCCAACAAAAATGATTGGACACATGCCAAAGCACCCACACCGGTGGGGAACTTCCGCACCAGGTCCTCACCAATCCTCCCAAACACCGCCGCTGCAGCTCCTTCCGCCACGCCATGAGCTGCGTGCCACGGCGCATGATGTCCACCGGGGTGCGCATGTGGGGCCACTGGCGCACCTGACGATGCAGCTGGGCAGCCCAGCTGAAGTTCTTAGAGGTCACGGATCACTATCACCATCCAAAGTGACCGTAGTAGTTCATCCAGCAATACAATACAATACATGCCATGGCCATAGTTTAGTTCAAAATTGGTTGTATTATGTTGTATTGTAAGCAAAGTCAGCCGGTGCAAGAAAGGTCTCAACAATTGGGAAGCAGCGAGTGAAGTACAGCAAATCATGACATTACCAATCTCCCAGCTGAAGAAAACACACGCAGACTTGCAGTGACTCGCGCATCTGCACGTTCAACAACTTGTCCCATGCGAATTGAACTCCTCAACCCGGAAATCACTCCTCAACCCATGTGGTCTTCTGTGCCCAATACCTCTCAGGGTCTGACTGATCCTCTTTTCGGCGACTGATAGACACGAACAGGCCGGTTGGTATATTCATCAAGAACGGCGTTGCTGTGATCTCAGCTTGCCGTCCCCTCGGTCGCACGAGTACGACGACCCCAAAACGGTCGAGATCGGTGTCGTGCACCGGTGTCCGAAGGGTTCGGATCGGTCGAGACCCGGTTTCGGCGAGACCCATGGACACTCCATGATCAGTAATTCTGATTCTGTGGACTATTTGTGGCTCCAAAACCAAAATCCCTTTTTCGCCCCGAAGCGCCCTATGCTGCGCTCCTTTCTGCTTTGGGCCCCCCGAACGCGGCGCTGGCACCGTGGTCGGCGCGACCACGGCGGGCACGACGATGGGGGCGACCTCGAGAGTCGATGGATGTGCCGGGGGCCCGGGTGGTGCCCGAGTAAGGCATGGGATGCCCAAGGGGAACAGGTGCTGAATGGTTCTGAAACACCTACTTTAGAAAGTGTTACTACTTTCCAAGGACGGGTACCAGTACTGGGTACCTGAAATAAGTACCCTAAAACCTTCCCCTTCGATCTCAAAATCGATTCAAGGGGCTTTATGTCTATGTTTCGCAACCCCATGTCCATTCTCAGAAAAGAGCACGACTAACAATGAATGGCATAGGCATAGGTCTAACTGAGCCTAACATGAACCTACCATTCATTTGACCCAAGTCTCAATATGATATCCATCGGATCAAGAGAATTCCTTTCAACATGTTTGAGTTCACACTTGCACTTGCTCAACAGAGCTCCATAGGGTGGTCCTCCAGCCATAGTGATCAGTACCTGTTCCGCTTCGCTTCGCTTTTCGGCCGCTCCAGGGTCAGCGGATTCGCTTCCTGGAACTCACATGGTGGCAGTGGATGGCATGGCCCCGAGTTCGGAAGACGATGAAATCCATTAAAAACAGGTGGTGAACTCCACGAAACCATGTGAGTGTTCAGTGTATGATCATGATCAAACATGGAAGTGATCGCTTCCGGTCCAACATCAACCTCCCTCACCTCTATGTCCACTCGAGTGACCCCCCCCGTCCCCGCCACCGATGGGAGGTCTGTCCGGTATTAGGACGCCGGTCGATGGGAGACCGACCGGAGAGGCCCACGGAGCGGGAGGGCCCGTCGACCCGTCTACCCAGCGGGGCAAGGGATGCCAGGGGCCCAGGGTCTCCCAATCCCGCCCCTCCAACCATCCTCACGTGGTTAGACCATGGTTTACACCCCCAACGAAACCCGGAGAGGCCCACGGAGGCAGGTCAGGAGCGCATGATCCCTATTCGCCCGTGCTTGGCTTCCCCCCAGTCCGGACCATTCCCTGTCCCTCACGCCTTGGGCGTCGGTGCGGCCGCCTTGGACGTCGGAAAAAACAAAGAGGCCACCGGAATTGAAGTATACATGTATCATCATGGCTCATCATGGTATCAACTATAGAGAAGTCCAGTTCGACGATTCTTAGGTACAGTACGGACATTCCGGACATTCATCGGATCCTAAAGACAATGGTAACAACGGTCGTCCACTGGATTCCCAGCATCGGATGTAGATCCGAATGGGGTGGACATGCCTATAGGATCCAATGGCTGCCCAGCCATGTTGATATGTTGATTTATGGAGTTGGTCCGAATTTGGGCAGCAGGGCAGCTGGGTGCTGCCAAAGTTTCTTACAAAACATGCATCAAAACACTCAACTCTCAAGTCACCATCAGGGATCAGGGACTGGTCACAATGCTTTGATCGATGGCAGGGCGGCTTTGTCGTGGATGTTCTGACAAAGGATGGCACCAGCGTCAGGTGTGCCTGCTTAAAGGTTCCAAACAGTCCTTAAAGACTGAAAGGGACAAAGGAAGTGGACATGAAGGTAGACCCTGACCCAGACACCCATGGGACTGCCATAGGACTGCCGATCAGTTGGGGTGGTTTGGGGGGGTCAAGGCAGGCATATACGACATACATGGAGGGAGTGTCTGGGTTATAGAGGCCAGGAATCAACGTCTTCCAATGAAAACGCCAATACTTCTTGGAGGGCATGTCGTCAAGCCGAGGTCCCTTCCTGTTCATACCCTATCTTTGGAGTCCACCAAACCACCTGTTGCTGGAAGTCCCTGAAAACCCGTCGGTCTCCAGCAGCCAACTGCGACCTACGTCAAGCCTGCAAACCTGCCGTCCGCGCCGTCCGAGTGCCATCCGCATTCGACTGGGGGGCCGGTCCGAGCTGCCTCCAGTGGCCACCTGGAGGGAAGCCATGAGATGATCCCTGCAGGAAGGAACTGAGGGTTTTCAGTGAGAAGGCTTCGAAGGCTGGAAACTCACTCTTTCAATGTGGAAACTCATGGTAACCTTCCACCTTATAAGACCTGTAGCACAAAGTCCATCCGTTTGAGAACCAGAACCCCCGTGCTTGAACATGGAGTTCTCACAAATGTTGGGTCACCTCAGCTTCGTCTCACCTCGGAACCCGGTCCGACCCGCCGGTCGCGCCTGCTGGAGGAAGTTGATGATGTCGTGGCCCGGGAGATGCGCCGGCGCCACCCCACCGAAGCCTGGACGGACCGGGTGACATGCCGTGAAAACCGCCTGGGGTTCGGTGGCCATTCTTCGGTGGCCATGTTTTTTTTGTGGTCTTTAAGGGACCCAAAGAAAACAACTGGACCACTCAGACCGTGGATGGAAGAGTTATGCATGTGGATGGAAGAGTTACTTGCACTTTAGGTTCTTGAATGATATAAAATGGCATAAAAATGCATGAATGTATCTGCAACATTCTGCGACTGTTCCATACATCAATGGTCTGGAAATCTATTGAGGGAACTCTTGGTACTATCCCAAACCATCCATGTATGCAATATGCATGCATGCATGCCATTGCATGCCTATAGACCCCTCAAAAAGGTAGGCAATTTTTCGGTACGGACTGACAACTGGAATACCTCGCTGAGATCCTGCGAGTCATGTGATGTATCATCCCTAGTCTTCCAAGAATTAACAACAGCTTGACCCGGCTTTGTGGTGTAAGATCCAAAGTAAAACTTAAACTTGTTGTATATAAAAACCGTTTAAATCATATAAATCAATGGTGGTGGGAATCCTGGGGTCATGATGTATCATACCATGTCATAGCCCCCAAAGGAGATCAAGGACTCCCAGCGGAACCTTGTAAGCGGCTCCGCAGCATGTTCGCGGCCTCCAGGTCCTTCTGTGTCTGCCTAGGTATGGATGAAAATGAGACGGAATCAACCACAATCTTCCCCCGGGGAGCAAACCAAGGCCCCATTTCTGGTCGAGTCTGGAACCAACTCCACAACACTGGGTCTGGAGGTCACGTCCAGCACCGAGCAAGAAGGGATTCACGTCCAAACACCCAAAAGCCCTGTTCCAAAGTATGACAACACCCTAGGGCTCCTCCGTTTTGAAGATGGTTGGGGTGGGTGGCAGGGGGTCTGGGCCCACCGAACCTGAGGGTATGGGCCAGGAGCCCTAGGGACAGTGTTTGCAAGGCGATCCTCTAAGCTGAGAAGGCCGAACTCAATTCCTTCAGCCCTCACTCGCTTCACTCGATCCTCTACCTCACCCACTCCTCGTTCTGCACCGTTCACGCCGGTTCATGCCTCTTGGTGAGTGATTTCTGCACGGCTCGGTCACGCCTCCCTCACACCGAGCGCCGCACACGACACCCGGACGCAAGGGATGCATGGCGGCTCCACGCCACGCGGAGGAACCCGCCGCGGCACAGCGAAACGGGGGGAGACGCACGTGGAGAGCGAGGTTCGATCCCCCGTGGTGTTTGGGGCTGAAATTGGAGTGAAGAACATTGGCTGGCTCTGGCCAGCCTTGCTATGACAAGGAAACCATAAACCTGGACCAGTTCAGAAGTGGGAGGTATCATTGTGATTGGGGCAAGCTAAGCAGGGAGCTAAGAAACAGGGTGCAGGGGCACCTTCTCCTGCTTGGTTGTGTGTCAGACATCCCAATCTGTACAAACACCTCGTGGCAAGACATGGGGCAGCTCTGTCTCTGGTACGGCCACGAGAAATGAACACACAAGCTCTCTGTCTCGGCTCGTGTCTTCACCTTGAGATGCGGCGCTCCTGTGATTATTGAATGTCTTTTCTTTCTCAGTCCAACTCTCTTGATCTAATTTGCTTTACAATTTGGACAAGCTGGTCATAGAGCCGGTGGTGTGTTGGCGAGCCGAACAGCAGATTCCAAGGGAATGCGTGTCTCGGTTGTCCCCCGCTGAGCACGTACCATCGACCGTACGCATCGAGCGAACAGGTGCAGACACGTTGATCCATCGTGAACCTTCCCTATCCCAGACACTCCATGTGTGCCATATATGCCTACATTGACCCCCAGTCAACCACCCCAACTGATCGGCAGGCAGTCCCGGACGGGTCGCGTCTGGGTATGTGTGGATCTGTTGTTGTCCCCCTCAAGGCGGTGAAAGATCACTTGGGGGACGAGCCCCCTGTCGCTGTGTCGCTGTGGGCGTTTTGGAGGGGAGACACTCCATGGACATGGCATCTCTGGCAGCTCTCGAGGCGTCCAGCCCTGGTTCCGACCCGGGTGGGGGACACCCCAAATGCAGCGCAGGGGGGGGGGCCTCCAGTCCAGGGACGGGCTTGGTACAACCAAAAGCACAGCAAAGAAGCAACCAACCGCTTCGTTGGCTGGAGTCTCGCCAACTGATGTCCCAGCGAGCCATCACCCATTGCTTCAGGACAGAAAAGGACGAGTTCAGTGAATTGTTATTTGGACGGGTGCTCCAACACAAAAACAACTGAAATCGATGTCTGCTGTCCCGGGAAGTGCAGATTTCGTCATGCGGGGGTGTGGGCGCAGTTTCCCATGGAGGCAGTTCCAGGCTGGAGTTGCTTGGTTTCGCTTTCCTGTGGGCCCTCAAGTGCGATCAACAGATCTCCGAAATTCCATCCGTGAATTTCCTCAAGGACGAGGAGATCTGCTCTGTGGGGTGCGGCTATCTCAGACGGCCAGGGGTGTGGGTGCCAAATGGGCTATCTCTGCTTCGACCAAGTGTCAAGATATGCGTTTCCATACAAAGAAAGACATTCATATACCCTTGTACCGTAAAGACTCCAGGTTCACCGAAGACAAAGTGACAGTAAGATTGGGAGTGCACGGGTAGGATTCATTAAGCGACACAGCGCACACAGCCAATCCTTTGAAGTGTCCAATCGATGTAGCTCGCATTTGCCCCCGGCACCATGCTTGGCCCCATGTACGTGTGCTCAGAGTTCGAAACCCCACTTTGGTGCCCAATCGAATTCAAAGGAAATCTATGGGGAACTCAACTGGACCGGCTTTGGGTCTACGGACTCCTGACAGTCGTTTCTGATACATTGGGAGTGGCTACAGTAACTGAAAATCAACTCAGATGAACATAGGCCGGTCCTTTCATGTGTTCCCCAAGTCAACTCTAGACCCCAGAAATCCAATCATATAATATGTCAGGTGCCTAGCATGGTTGCCACAGAGGTGAAACCCACTTGCTCTTTGGCGACTAGAAACACATGCAGGCCATCCATGTTTGACAAGGCCATGGCCAAAGGTGTCCAAATCCTATTCGTAGGACTTGGATAGACTTGGTGCACTTGGCTCAAAATCACTCCTCACCCAGATTGTAAGAGTCTAGTAACAGTCATCTGTGTGGCATCTTACTCTCTTGCCGCAAAATGAGAAGCTCGCTCAGTGGACATGTCAAGCTGACCAGTGACCTCTTTTGATCACACGGACCGGTTTTCGCGGTTTTGCTCTTGGACCGTGAGACATGGACGCAGCCTGGGGCGCAAGGTTGATGGTGTCCACCCTGGGTTTGCACAAGGGCGATGTATGTCCCACTTGACACAGCCTAGCAGCTAGCGGCGCAGTCAGCCTTTTGCTCCAAAGCGATGAGATTGATCAACCATGATGAACCCATGGGTGCGCGGTGCGCCTATAAAGAGTGGAGAAAAGGTGAGAATTCAAGGTTGAGCAACATCAACGTACGGTGTTTGTGATCTGTTTCTTCACACACACAATAGCAGTGACTTGCATGGACATTGGAGCCCTCGAAACGTTTCAAAGGACCACCTACTTCGATATTTCCAAAAAGAGATTGTGTAGGAGTCCAAAACCAAGATCATATAATATATGTTCTTAAGATCGTCTTAAGGTGATCCGAGTCTGGGAGTCTAGGACGTTCCCTTGTATTAATCAATATGTAATGGTCCAGCACTCTCCAACAGGTCTCCAACCGGAGGGTTTTAGACCCTAAGAGGTCTATTGGTGACCTGTTGGAGGGTGCTGGGTGGTACCAATACAGTAACAGTCTTTGGACCTCTAGGTCATAAGTTATACGCTTCAGTTCTGACAGGGTAGCTCTACCAGTGCAGCATCGGCCACGGTGTTGCCGCGTTCACACATGCCTGGCGGAACGACAGGTCATGCCAGGTCTCGTTTCGCATGCAGGTCGCCCTCTCTGTCCACCCGGTTGACGTTGCGGTCGGGTGTCCGGATGGACACCATCCGAATACCAAGCAGGTGGTGTTCGACTTCGTTAGTGACTCGGAGTGTATGTGTGTCCACGAAACTCTCATATTTTATGTCGTGGCAAAAAGCGGTGATGATGATTGAAAAGGGGTCAACGGTCAGCATCATGAATCAGTGCATAAAGTGTGTGTGGGCTTGCTGAGGGTGTCTTCACGTAAATCCAGTGGGCTGATGGAATAAACACATGATTCATCGGGTCGTCGAGTTGTGAGCAGCGTCAACTCAACCAGTCACAAGGTCATCGTACACCGAGGTCATTGGATTGGTGGGATCTGCTTGGTCGGCCAAGTCTAGCCTATTATCTCGCTGGGTACCTTTCGATTATATAGGTTGACATTTTTGGATATTCTGGAGGTGGCGAAAGACAGAATGTGTGAAAAACTGCCTTGTATACGGAGACCGAGAGCAAGGTGAAAGCTAGGCTGGCTTTGTCTGTAACAGTTATATATATATATCCGCCGACCCCTGCTCTGGCGAAGGCAGGGGCGGCGCCTGGGACCACCGAAGGTGTGGAACCTGAGCTCTCCAAATCCTTACTTTTCTGGGCCCGAAAGCAAAAGCGCCAAAAGTTCGCACTTGCTAGACTGTGGGCTCTGGGCTCTGTGCCAGACTGTGGGCCATACTGGCCGTTGGAGCAGCCAGCTTCTGGATTC